TTTTCTTCCCTTCTCCTCTCTCTTCTTCCCCTTCTTTGGCTCTCTTCTTCTTCGCCTTTCTCTCTCCTTCTTCTTTCCCTTCTCTCTTCTCTTCTTTCCCTACTCTCTTCTTTCTTCCCTTCTCTCTCCTTTCTCAAGCCTTTCTTTCCTTATGTCTCTTTCCTGATCTCGTCCCTTCCATTGCCCCTTCTTCGCCCGCCTTTTAGTCTTTCAACATCACCCTATCTACCGCAACCCATCTTCAATCAGCATTCCTTTATCCATTCATTTCCAAGTCAGCGCCCCTCCATCTTCGCTCCCAGCCTTTTTCCCTCCATCTCCACGACTCACCTAAACCCTCGAAGCCATCTGTCCCGTCACCCCCTTCTCCCTCCTTCTCCACCATCCCACTCCCTGCCCCCCCCCCCCCGTCCACACTCCGCAGTGACGTGTCATGACCAAGTTGAATACAGACGTGACAACCGTCGCTCGCTGGGCCGCCAGGTTCACTCTCCCTCGCTTTCACCCTCTCTTTCCCTTTCTCTTACTATTTCTCCTTTTCTCTTTCCTTTCTTTTCCTTTTTCTCTCTCCTCCCTCCCTCCCTCTCTCCCCTCCGTCCGTCGTCCGTCCGTCCGTCCGTCCGCGTCCCCTCCCTCCCTCTCTGCTCTTCTCGCCCCCCCCCCTCTCTCTCTCTCTCTCTCTCTCTTCTCTCTCTCTCTCTCTCTCTCTCTCTCTCTCTCTCTCTCTCTCTCTCTCTCTCTCTCTCTCTCTCTCTCTCTCTCTCTCGCATTAGCAACCGATAGACGTTTGACTTGCCAGGGGACATTCATGGTAACAAGTTGCATGATGATTAAGCTAGCGTTGTAAAGAGAGGGTAAAGGAAAGGAGGAATTGAGGAAGGGGTGGTAGTGTTGGAGAGGAGGAGGAGGAGGAGGAGGAGGAGGAAGGAAGAAGAAGAAGAAGAAAAGAAGAAGAAAGAAGAGAAGAAAGAAGAAGAAGAAGAAGAAAGAAGAAGACGAAGAAGAAAGAAGAAGAAGAAGAAGAAGAAGAAGAAGAAGAAGAAGAGAGAAGAAGGAGAAGGAGAAGGAGAGGAGAAGGAGAAGGAGAAGGAGAAGGAAGAAGGAGAAGGAGAAGGAGAAGGAGAAGGAGAAGGAGAAGAAGGAGAGGAAGAAGAGGAAGAAGAAGAGAAGGATGGGGATGGGAAGAAAAATGAGAATGAGGAGGAGGAGTAGGAGAAAGTGGAGGAAGGGGATGAAAAAGGGTGGAGGAGGAAGAAGAAGGAGAGAATGGAAATTAGGAGGAGGAGGAGAAGAAAAAAGAAAGCAAATAAGACAGAGAAACAGGTAAAGGAGCCAGAAAGTGACAGTGCCTGCCCTGTGACCGCCAAGGAGGCCGCCCTCATGACCGGCGCAGGACACCTGAACGCGTTCCGCCTGGCTCCCGTGACGTCACCACCTACTCCATGACGTCATCAACAGGAGGTAAAAGGGGACAGCGAGCGCATTACCATCCCTTCTCACCTTTGAATTTGTGATCAATTATTCAGCAGGGCTAAAAGGTGCACGGGCTCCCCAGCTGACATGACCTTGCCTAACTGCGCGTGGCTGCGTCTACATACGTAAGGGGCCAGGCGCACGCGCCCTGAAGTACGGGCTGACGTTGACCTGCGTGGGCGACGGCAGATCGGGGGAAGTGCCCTCAACATAAGGCCTTGGGAGAACGATAACAAATTTCTCATTTTCATCTGGGCTGAAGTTTCACTCTCGCTCTCTCTTCGTCTCTTCTCCTTCCACTTTCTCTGCCCTTCCTTTCCTCTTCTTCTCCATTTTCATTTTCTTTTTTCTCGCTCTCCATTTCCCTTTAGTTTCCCTTTATTCCTCTTTACCTTGCGCTCTCCCTCTTCGCACGCACTCTATTTTTTCTTCCCCTCTTCCCCTCTCAACTTCCCTTTACTTTTCCTTCCACTTCTTTCTCTCCCATTCCTTCCCTCTCCTATCCCAACATCCTCTCTCCCTTTCCCACTCACTATCCATATTTCTTGCCCCCTCCCTTCCCCCCCTCTCTCTATGTGAACTTCCACTCTTTTGCCCTTCTCCCTCCTCTCTTCCCCTCCCTCCTCCTCCTTATTTTCCCCTTCCCACTCCCTTCCTGTCTCCCTCCCTTTCTCACCTGTTCCCTCCACTTCTCCATTCCTATCGCCCTCTTCCTCTACTTATCTCTCTCTCTTCCTCTTGGTCCTTCTCCCTACATTCCCATCTTCCTTCCTTCCGCCCTCCCTTCCTTCCCAGATTACGCTCACTCTTACTTTTACTCTCACTCCCATTCCCACTCCCTCTCCCGTTCCGACTCCCACTCTCATTCCCACTCGCACTCCCTC